CTAATACTAGACATTCGACTTACTGCTACTCTGCCCAGAAGTCCCGCCTATCCTCTCCTGCCTAGTTATTGGCAATTCAGCTCTTTATTCAACCAGTCAGAAGGCGCTTGGGAGAGACACATCTTCACAGTGTACAAAAAGACTATCGCACAATAGATACCACAGTAGGAAGGCAGGGTATAAGGCCAGGGACAGGAGGCCACCGATGGTATGCAGAAGCCAGACACAGTGCTCTGCCCAGGGTCCTACAGAGGAGATCTCTGTCTACATGGCCTCTCTCTGGGCTCCTTCCTGTTCCGACGCAAGTTACCTGAGAATGTCCTGTTCTATGTCACTGACATACTTGCACAGCACTGAGGACCTGGACCTGACTGGGGCAGCAAGGGTGTGAAGAAAAGACAGACACACAGGAAACTGGAACCAGGTGGACCGGGTGCTCTGAAGCGCTGTGTGTTTATTAGACAGCTCAACAGAGAGGCAGGGTTACTGCGTACAGAAGAACAGGGAACTAGGGGTTGCAGCGTACAAATAAACAGAGCCGCAGAAATATTATATACAGCCAAACAAAGAGGCAGGTTTAGTTCATCTCAGTTAGGAGCAGATATGGGGAGCATCATGGAGGAGAAAGCCACAGCAGACACTTTCTGCACACTCTGTCAAACATCTGCACACAGAAGGTCTTGCCATCCCCCTGAGCTGCATCCCAGAGGGAAGATTTTGCCATTTTTCCATGGGTCTGAGGCTAAGGTCCTTGACATCGCTGTGCCCATATGAACTACACACAGCACCCAGGACATCACTCACTCAAGGCTTCCTGCAGATACTTACAACTGAGCTGATTGTTGTAGATTAAGACTGTTCTCTTCCTGTCCCATCAAGGTTTTCTGACTGCTTGGGGTTTCCTGGGGCTGCATATTGGGTCTACACTTCCTCTCTGCCCAAAACTCGGCTAGGCTCAGAGGCATGAGCCTGTGAGCACAGCTATTGAGAAGGCAGAGAGGGCTTCCGCCTAGAAGTCCAGGAGACCCCGCTGCAACCTGGATGTTGGGCAGTAGTGGGGGGGGGGGGAGCAGCAGAGAATGGAGGAATGACAGACGCACATACAGAGAAGCTGGGATTGGCTGTGCTTTGCTCCTTGACAGAGACACCCGCATCAGGGAAACTCAGCGTGTTTATTACACAGCGGAAGGAGGAGGTGGATCAGCTAATCTCAGCTGGGGGTATCTGCAGGGGAGCAGGCTCAGGCTATAGTCTGTGGGGAATCAGGAAGTTGGCTTGGCCTAGCTATCTGGAGAGGTGAGTGTCATAGGTTTTACAGATTAGAGTCTGTAGCTCCTGGGGCACAGTGTGCCTCTCCATTCTTGAGAAACCACGGCACTCCCTCAGGCGGTGAAGCGTTCAGGCTACTTTGCATTTCTCTGTATGTTCCCTTATAAATATCAATGACGCATATAGAAATTTGTCAGGACAATTAGTCTTAGATGTTAATCTTGTGTGCCTTGTATAGCTTGCAAATTTCATTGTATCCTAGCAACTACAACTGTATTTGATCCTGGAAATCGCCACTGTATTCTGTTTCTGATAATAGTTTATATTATTCTTTTAAAGGCGGGTGTGTGTGTGTACGAACACAGGATAGACGAGACACGCGCAAAAGGAGGAGACAAGACACGCGGCTCCCACGTGGGTGCACTTTAATGGGGGTAAGGGGGACACGATAAAGGATGGGTGTGCAAGACACACAAGGGTAAAAGGGCAAGAGAGAGCGAGACCTCGTGGAAGTTCGCTTTTTAACGGGGAAGCGCAAGGTTATCTGGGAGGAATGACCCGCACCTGTGCACGCCCCCTGCGCGCGCGCGCAGGTATCCGTAATCCAGGAGGAGTCTGGGAGCTGTAGTTTCCAAAAGGAACAACATTTTAAGAGTCTGATTGCTTGCAGTAAACATGTCACGGCCTCAGTCTTGCTGTGTCTCCTCCAGCCTGTGCCTGGTTTGAATTCCCTGACCTACCACATCAGGTAACCGTGACTCGGTAAGTAAACACACATGCCTACCATGGTTCTCAAGGAGGAAGAAGCTGTAGTCGGTACTTTGTGCACACTGTCAACATCCATGCCAGAGCTGGGGCAAGGACTTGCTATTCCCATGGGCATTGGGGTCCTTGATGTGACTGTGCTCCTATCACGAATATTATAAATATTCATTGATACATGGGTGCCCTCGCTCCCACAGGAACCATCTTGGAAAAAAAAATCATGCCCAAATATGCCTTAGAATGTTGCCTATGAATCCTCAATATTCACTGGTGTGTGACACAGACACACAAAATAATAAGTAAAAATGTGACAAAAATATCATAACCCCAAAATAGAAAGCAAACAGGTTATCAAGAAGTTTAACTGTTTTGTCAGCCAATCAATTACTATCATTTAGTTACAAATGCTGCCTCTATTCGTGTGTGTGTGTGTGTGTGTGTGTGTGTGTGTGTGTGTGTGTG